TTACCTCGTTTACCGAGCACTGGGCCTGTCTCTTTTACACATCTAGATGTGTATAAGAGACAGGGAACATAAGTTTATTTTCATATTGCTTTTTATTATTTATATCGTTGCTCTATTTCGATTGTTTATACTGCTGCAGTGAATGTCAGACAGAATCAGAAATTATCACCATAGGCCTATGTGTTTATTGACCAGCTACTACGAATCGTACTTGGTCAAGAGACCGAATGTCAGTAATATTGTGTACAGCATTCATCGTTACAATGTGTAATATAATGATGTTTTTAGTATCTGTGGTGGTTATCTGGAAGCAAGCAATTGGACAGCAGTTTTTACCTGATGTGAAAGACGTCAGTGTATTAGAAGGAGAATCAGTGACAGTAAAATGCTTCATTGAAGGTGGGTTAACGGAACGTAGTAGTATTTCGTGGTGGAAAAGTGATAGTCAGATTAGTGCCGAAAACGGCATAGTTATCAAAGATCCAAGATTAACCGCAAATTTGGCAGAATTTCCAGATACTAATAAAATAATGTATTTGTTAGTTATAACATCATCAGTACGGCAAGATGAAGGCGATTACTATTGCAAAATTTCGCATCCTTATGAAATACAGTCGGAGTTGGCTCACGTGACTATTCTACAAAAGCCTTCAAGTGAATACCCTCAATGTTTAAAATCAAAAGAAACATATATTGCTGGCTCAGATGTTAAGCTAACATGTGTATCAGAGGTAGTTTTACCTCCTGTGGAATTACAATGGTCACGTAGGCCTACTTTACTAACGATACCACCAATGAGTGTAGGTATAGAAATGCGTGAAAATATTGTTTTTAAATATCTTCAGTTCACCGCAAGAAAGGAAGACAATAAAGAAACGTTCGTCTGTGAACAGGATTCAGAAGTTATGTCAGAGACTTTGAACTGTACAATTAGTGATCTTAATATACAATATAACCCTGAAGTAAAAATACGACACACTAATGTAATATATGCAGGATCTAATTCTATATTGTTTTGCCAATCAGTTGCTAACCCTCCTGTAGCGACATTTAGATGGACGTTTCAACCAACGTTAGAACCATATGAATATGAGACCGAAGGGCAAGTATTGCGACTTCTTAAACTACCTATCACTAGAAATGGAACACATGTGACGTGCACAGCCTCAAACCATGTAGGTACCGGTGTTGATTCGACACGACTTTACATTTTAAATGAAAATAATATGAACGGTGACGCAAAAGGATTTGAGGACAATGGAAAACAAGTTAAAAATGATAATCACTGGCAAGACCCAAACGGAAATATAATTGCAAACAGTCAAGAAGAAAATAACCAGACAGTATCACTGTATGTAGTCATCATTATCATTGTACTAGTCGTGATCGTTGTTGTGGTTGTTGTCATCATTCCTGTTTATTATCAATGTTTCTGTAAGACAAGAACTGCTACTGATTCCTCTGGTAGAGAGATATATCAGCCTACTGTGTACTATGACACTAGAAGTCGCAATTCAAATAGTGGTCTCTATGATCGATCTTTACCTCGATTACCAAGTGCTGGACAGTATGGTTCCTGGAGATATTCATTCGCTTCTCAAGTTCCAGAAGATCTTGATCAAGAAGGATACATGTACATAGAAGAAAGAAACGGGCAAAATACACTATAGTGTCACATAAAGCAGTGTTTGTGGCAATAATCACTAACAGCATTGGTCAAATGCAATTTGTTTGTGTCATAAAATTATCTTTACCCTTTTCCTTAAAATATTTTCCTTATCTAGGTACAATATATAATAGATCAGATATAAATTTATCTCACAAATATTTTGTTGTTATAACGATAATACTGTTTTATCTGCAAAGAAAATATTAAGCGAAATGTGTATACCTGTAACATAAGTTTATTTTCACATTGCTTTATATTATTTACAACCTTGCTTTAGTTCGATTGGTTGTACCGCTACTGCAGTGAATTTCAGACAAAATCAGACTTAACAACCATAGGCTTATGTGCTTATTGTTAAGATACAAAAAATCGGACTTGGTCAAGAGACTGAATGGCAGAAATATTATGTACAGCATACATCGTTACAATGTGTAATATAATAATGCTTTTAGTATTTGTAGTTAACTGGAAGCAAGCAATTGGACAACAGTTTTTACCTGATATGAAAGACGTCAGTGTATTAGAAGGAGAGTCAGTGACAGTCAAATGCTTCCTTGAAGGTGATTTATCCGAGGGTATTAGTATTTCTTGGTGGAAAAGTGATCGTCAGATTAGTGCCGAAAACGGCATAGTTATCAAAGATCCAAGACTAACAGCAAATTTGGCAGAAATTCCAGATACTAATAAAATAATGTATTTGTTAGTTATAACCTCATCAGTACGGCAAGATGAAGGTGATTATTATTGCAAGATATCGCATCCTTATGAAAAACAGTCGGAGTTCGCTCACGTGACTATTCTACAAAAGCCTTCCAGTGAATACCCTCAATGTTTAAAATCAAGAAAAAGTTATATTGATGGCTCGGATGTAAAACTGACATGTATTTCAGAGGTAGTTTTACCTCCTGTGGAATTACGATGGTCACGTAGGCCTACTTTACTAACGGTACCACCAATGCATGTAAGTAAAGAAATGCGTGACAATATTGTTTATAAACATCTTCAGTTCACTGCAAGAAAGGAGGACAATGAACAAACGTTCGTCTGTGAACAGCATACAGAAGTTATGTCGGACACTTTAAATTGTACAATTAGCGACCTTAATATACAATATAATCCTGAAGTGAAAATACGACACACTAATGCAATATATGCGGGATCAAATTCTATATTGTTTTGTCAATCAGTTGCTAATCCTCCTGTAGCGACATTTAGATGGACATTTCAACCAATGTTAGAACCATTTGAATATGAGACTGAAGGGCAAGTATTGCGACTTCTTAAACTAGCAGTCACTAGAAATGGAACACATGTCACGTGCACAGCCACAAACCATGTAGGTACCGGTGTTGATTCGACACGACTGTATATTTTAAATGATGATATTGTGAACGGTGACGTAAAAGGGTTTGAAAACAATGGAAAGCAAATAACAAAAGATAATCACTCGCAAGACTCAGATAGAAATAAAATTGCAAATATTAAAGAAGAAAATAACCAGACAGTATCACTCTACGTCATCATCATTATAATTGTGTTAGTCGTGATCATTGTTGTGGTTGTTGTCATCATTCCTGTTTATTATCAATGTTTCTGTAAGACAAGAACTGCTACTGATTCCTCTG